CTTGAGATCATCAGCAAAAAGAAGACATTTCGAAGATCCAACACCAATCGGCAAATCATTGATAAGGATCAGGAATAGCGTTGGTCCCAGGGTACTGCCCTGGCTAACACCGGACCTTGTATAGTAGTCACTAGACTCGAAACCGTTAACTCTTACAAACTGGCACCGATTTCGTAGGTAGCTAGAAAAAAAATCTAATAGTTTAGGTGTAAAGCCCATTATTGCTAATTTTTGCAACAAAATATCATTATCCACCAGGTCGAACGCTTTTTTGAAGTCAAAATAGGCGGTGTCGACCTGTCTGCCCGCATCCATTTCCGCATACGCGTAGTCCACATGAGCCACAAGATTAGAGGTAGTGGAACGAGCACTACGGAAACCGTGCTGGCAGTCATGTAAAAAAAATTGTATCTGCTTATTAATACGATGACCCAGAATTGTCTCGAAGATCTTAGCGAAGACAGATAGAACTGCGATAGGTCTAAAGTTCGAAATATTGTTACCGGCTTGTCCCTTTGGGACTGGGGTTACTCTGGTTAGTTTCCAAGTCGCAGGATACACTGAGAGTTTCAGAGATAGATTGAAAAGAAATAGGAGCGGCTTTTCGAGAAGTGAAATGCAATCCTTTGCCAAAAATACCGGGATACTATCAGAACCTCCCGCAGATCTTGGCTTGAGGCGCTTTACCGCTAACTTCAAATCGGATGCGTCAACCTGCCCGATTGAAATAAAAGTGGCGTCTGCCTGCATGTGACCTGCACGAGCAGCCTCAGTTGGATTCAAGCGAGGTACCTCGGCAAGAAATACTGAGCTGAAGTAATCAGCAAAAGCGTTAGCCGCAGCCTGGCCGGTCACCTCCTCTCCCTTATGTAAATAAGTACCGACAGGTTGGCGGTCCTTTCTTTTATCTTTAATATATGTCCAGAATTGAGTAGGGTCGTCAATTATATTATTTTGCATCAAATTTAAGTGCTGCTTATAAGCATTGTCAATAAGATTTTTAACATGCCACCTATAATATTTAAACATTTCTTTGTTAAATTCCTTACCTTCGGCCTTGTAACGTTTCAAATGATAATATTTAGTTTTAATGCAAGTTATGATTTCTTTTGTATACCATTTCGGATAAATGTATTTGTTATGTCTGATACGAGGACCCTTTGGCGGCACGAAACGGTCAATACAACTGTATATTTTATTATAGAACAGGTCAACGGCTGAGTCAATATCAGATGTGGCAAATAAGTCACACCAATCCAGCTCATTCAGAGCCGCATAGAGACTTGGATAGTCAGCCCTACGCCAATTCCAGTCGGGGCTAGAACCAGAGCACGAGGAGGGCTGAGGTAGGGTTGATGGCGGCACTGATCCACCACACGAGAACTTGACAAATACCTCTAAAGGAGGGTGATATAAATCAATTGGTACTAGCGGTTCAGCACCAGCTAAAACCTGAATCTGATCAGGGTTCATACTGCTCAACACCAGATCCAGCATACCGCCGCGACTATTATATACTTTATTATGTTGCTGTAGTCCACAAACGTCACAAAACAAATCAAAATTAAATTTCACATTGGCACTAAAAGAATTTAGATTAAAATCGCCAATTACCAAAATATTCATATTTGCGTAAGTCAGAATTGCATTTTCGATACATGTCAAGACGTTCAAGTATTGATCATCCCTGTAGCTGGGAGACAAGTAAACTACACAACACAACAATTTGAATTTTTTGTAGCTAATTATGGCGCAGACCAATTCCATTTCAGACGTCTGAGCATCAATATCTGTTATCTCACGCACCGAATAACAGTCTTTCACTGCGAGTAACACCCCACCCCAACCACAGTCACCTGAACGATCCTTCCGTATTACCGCGTAGTTAGGGGGGAAAAGTTCGCCGTCTGATATGGAACTAGTCAAGAATGTTTCTGTCAACGCTATAACATCAAAGCCATTCTGGGCTACATTGTTTAAGAAAATATTAGTTTTTGAGCGCAAACCCCGTACATTTTGGTAACACATATTCAGAGACTTAACTTTAGAAGCAGCACGCTCACATACTTTTTCCTTTAGCACGAAAGTTCTGACGCCACGGTTTCACACAAATATCTTCAGCCCAATTTGACGGCGACATGACAGTATCTGCGAACTTTGACGGTACACCAAGCTTAAACGATGCGTATCGTCCTCGTGACTTTAACGATTCAACCGTACAGATTTCAGTTCCACAGATGGAATGAAGATGAGCAAGTACCTGCTCAACAGTAGTGCCTTCCTGTACATAAAACAGATGTAAATACCTCCATCGCTCTGAAGCTCGTAATGTCATGGTCTCTGGCGCCGCAGTGCCTCGACGCAAGCCAGCAAGAGAAGTACGGGCTCGTCTACGCTGAACCTCCAACCACCCACTTGATTTATGCTCTTCATCAAGATCAATATTAATATCAATATTATTAATATTATTATTATCTGTTTGTGTCAAAGAGTCTATGGGTGCCGTCGCAGGAGTAACAGCTGAAACATTAGGAGTAGCAACTGAGACACTAGGAGTAGGAGTTGGAACATTAGTCGAAGATATGGTCGTGGTTTTGACTGATTTGCTGTAGATCTTCCGTTTGTTCGAATGAATCATCGGCGCCTTAAGCTTATTATTAGCAATATCAGTGTGTACAGAGCATTGAACGTCTTCAGCATTACTAGATACACTATTTTGTTTCTTGTTATTATTTATTACAGCCATTGAATCAATTCTTTCCTCTAATTCCTTAATTTTATGGGTTAAAATATCTACTTTATTACAAAATTCCGTTTTAAATTGGTGGAATTGCTCAGTTATTATTTTACAAATTTTTGTAGACAGGCGTAATTCAAAATCCCCCTGCATCGATTTCAGTTCTCGCGCAATGAAGACATGCATCGCTTCAGGTGAATTATTGAGCAGGTCACTTCGTGCGGTCGTATGTGCATAGCGTAAACCAGTACGCATTGTAACATTATCAGGACTGCGAGTGCTATGCATAGATATATCCGGGGCGCAGTCACTGGCGATACTCATATCATGTACGAAGTGTTGAGTCTGACGTACGGGCGTTTGTGAGTTATCACCTTTCGGTAATTTGCTACGACACTCTACACAAATCCATGAGTTTTTGAATTCGTAAGTAAACGTAGCATATGCATTGTTGGTAAAATTCGCACATAAAATATCAAAAGATTGCTTACATTTTACGCAAGTCATGTACGCGCTGTCTTCAGTGATTATACCACGACATCCCGCACACGTAACGCCACACGCCATCATCATCGCCGGTCGAACACAGCACCCCGTTCTTGAGTCTTGCAGTGTAGCAGCAATGGAGTAGGTATCGCAGTAGTAGCCCCGCACAACGCGAGCGGTCGGCCGATGAGTCAACGCAGCGAGAGACCGGCGGGTTGTCGTAGGTCAGGCACAAATCAGTTATTAAATATTTTCAAAAATAATTCTCTTATATCTCCGTTGTTCCTGGGCGGAATTTAAAACAAATTGCACCACTAAGTAGCTTGGTTCACTGGCAAGAAAAGTATACTAAATTCGTATTCGAACTGCAAATTTTTACACTGTTTACAATTTTATTCGCGGAGCCGACTTCAATGTCATGCCGGAATCGACGCCAGAATGGTACATATTAGGTTGTATTTATTATAAGTTGTTTTTCTATATCTTAAAATCTTATGGTTAAGCGAAGCGATGGCTGGTTCATGCGTCATGCTCGTGAACGGGTGCTGCCAGCGGAGATGAGTCTGCTCTTGCTTCATTGGGTACTATTAAGATAAGATAATAATACTTTATTGCACAACAGTAACATAAATAACACGAATAAAATACAAATACAAGGCAAAACAATCACAGTTGCACAAAGGGCGGTCTTATCGCTAATCAGCGATTTCTTCCAGACAACCCAATGAGCTGGAAAAAGTAGAAAGCACGATAATAATAATGAGGGAGGTTGTGCGGAAAACAAGACAAAAGTAATCAATTGAAATTAATTAAAATAAACGCTAACCAAACATATAGGCATACACAAACATTCACACATATCGCAGTATAATGCAACAGTACTACTACCGTAGCAATATTTTAATGAAAATTATGCTCATCTGACAAGAAATGCTCCTTAACTAGGGATTTGAAACAGGGTAGAGTTTGGGCACGCCTAATCTTTTCCCGCAGAGAATTCCATAGTTGGATGGCACGTATGGTAAAGGAGTGGCTATACGCCTTGGAAAAGTTAGGAGGTGTGAAAAGCAGGAGATTATCAGATGAACGAAGCGGAAGATTATGAGAAGAAGAAAGAAACTGAAAACGTTCTTTGAGATAGACAGGAGCATTTGGATTGAACAGTACTGAGAAGAGTAGGGACAATATATGCAGATCACAGCGATGACGAATGGGAAGCCACTTCAATTTCTGCCTGTAGTATAATAATTAATCGTTGGATACTATTATTTTTTTTGCCCAAACAGTAGGACACAGCATTCCTAAACTTTGTTACCAGTTTTTTATATTTTTTTTTTATTTTATAGTCATAATATTTATATTATTTGCATTTGTAATGGAAAGTGACTTTATGAGTTACCTCATATTGAAGTCATTTTTCAATTTGACGACTCTGTATATAATACAGGGAGAAAAAAACAGCCCTTGCTGAGTTCTTGCCGGTTCTTCTCAGTACAAGGTCTCCCGCCGTAGATTTGCGGACCGATGGCGAAGCTTTTCGACATTCACAAGTGCTTGTAACAGCCTAGACTGAATAAACGATATTGAATTTTGAATTAAATTGAATTTTGAATATTTTTGTTATTTTGTAAAATTATAATTATAACAATTTGTCTGTATCCGTGTATTGTGCTGAATAAAAGATTTTGATTTGATTTGATAGGCGCAAACAGTTTTCAGCTGAAAACAAATGCAACTGTATCTGCGTTGTGTTAAATTTCACTTTACAGCATCATTACAATTGACAAATAAAAATGACATAAATACACACTTAGCCTCAAAGTCAGATCAAAACGACTCGTACGGCGACTGAAGTAGCAGTTTGTGTAGACAAGTGCTCCATAAAAACATCGCGATAGCTAAAATGTTACTGAATTTTAATCACATATGGAAATGTTCGATCGTGTTGATCGGTAAGTACCTAGTAAGTTAGGACTGAGATATTTCATCATAGTAACTTACCTTTGAGGAGCTCGATGGCGCAGGTGGTTAGCGCGTTTGACTGCGATCGTTGTAGTTGAGCAACTTTCGCAGTGGTCGGTCATTGGATGGGTGACCAAAAATTTTTATCTCGAGTTCCTCCGTGCTTCGGAAGGCACGTTAAGCCGTTGGTCCCGGTTGCATCTGCAATCGTTAGCCCGCCAATCCACACTGGGCCCGCGTGGTGGGTCATGGCCCAATCTCCCTATTGCATCCATAGGGAAGGCCTGTGCCCCAGCAGTGGGAACATAAAGAGGCTGATGATGATGATGATGATGATGAGTAACTTACCTGGATTTTTGATTTTTGTCATGGTTTAATAGAGATAGACCATATCGGATTTTTGCCCAAATAAATAAATATTTCCAACACTCAGCATAGCCCCAAAGTAAGACCTGTAATGCTTGTTTAATGGGAAGCCAGGGTAACGGGTAGAATACATATATTAGTATATCTATATAGAAATACATATTAAACATCCATGACTGGAGTACAAATGCTCGTATTCATCACACAAACATCTTGCCCCACCGGGATTCGAACCCGGGAGCTCTCGAGTCGGCGACACCATGAAACCCGGCATAGAAACCACTCGGCCACGGTGGTCGTCAAATGAAGCGCACATCTGGAAAAATAACCTCCACCTTTGAGAAAATCACAGTAAAATAACGCTACCGTTTGGTGCTGTCATGTTTCTGTCGGTGAGTAAGGTTTCAGGGCTCCGCGGGGTAGGGGATTGGGTCAGGGTAGGCAACGGCGGATAGGATATTTAAAGTAATAAACATAATTTTTACAGGCTTCAGCCATCTGACATCCGCTGCGAAATTCCGTTGTTATTAGTAAGTGTAACTTTTATTTTAAAAAAATGTGAAGTAGGTACGTACTTATATGTAAAGTAACGACAAATTAATATTTACCTTAATAGGTCCACTTGCAGCAATAGGGTATTTGACAGTATTAAAAATAAAGTGCCAATTGTTAGCATCTCTGTTTAGAATGAATATTAGCAGAGGTTTTTAATATTTTTACAAAAAAAATATTCATAATTTTACTAAAAACCCACTAAAAAAATAATAGTTTTCTTACCTATTGTCACGTGATCCAAAACGCTAGGGATTGGCGGAGCCTAAAATGACGTCACACGCAAGTAAGTGACATTACATTGTATCATTTGACGTTTTAATAACAGTCGTGTGACGTCACACACTAGTAAGACGCCATATTGTCCAGAGAAACGTTTTCGCGGCAACTTGAAAATGGAGTTTTTGATTTGGTTATTTTTACTGAAATACACAACAGAATGATGAATATCCATCCAATTACGGACTCCATAAACATTAGTCAATAACGTGAGATCGTTTTCTAAAACTTGTCAAATACCCTATTTTGCTAAACTCAATTTAACTAAAAATAGATTTAGCCCACCCACATTTTTTGTTATATTTCGAGTTCTACTGAACCTATTGTCTTCATTTATGTCTATCTATTCTAAGTATATTTAAACGTTGTATTATATTGTGTGGCAGAAATATTGTGTGGCGGAAATCCGCCACTTCCACAGACAGGGGTTATTTGCTTTTGGCAGAAATCATCATTTACACAGACCACGGAATAATTCTAAAATCACATTGACGTTTTGACATTTTTCTATTGGTTAAGTCTAGTTTTAGTTGAATCGATAGCAACCTTCAACTAAAAAACTAAAAAATTTGCTGCAAGAAGGCCTTAACTTAAAATTCTCAGATCATTTCCGCATTTATAATTACTAGTTGGGGCCCGCGACTTCGTCTGCGTAGAAATATTAGTTACCTATGCAAACTTTGAACCCCATTTTATCCCTTTAGGGGGTGAGTTTTGAAAAATTCATACAGAAAAGTAAGAACAGATAAATTATGTAGCATGTGTGTAGCATAAATTGTGTAAATGTACCACATACAGCTTATTTTATATTGTTTTCTTAGATTAAATGTTGTTTTTCTTAGGATTTTTGCAAGTAAATAACGCGTGGTATCACATAAAGATTACAACTCCAATAATTATAATTTGTACCTATTTAATGAATATTGACAGTTTTACAAATACTACACCTTAAAAAGTACTTACTACTTCGCTAAGTCACGTTTCTATTCGTACTGGAGTCGTTACAATACCGATATCTTTCTAATAAAACAGATAAGTGATTTCACCTTCCGCGTACCTAACAATTGAAGGGGCTTTAAACTACTGACATTCAACAGCAAAAAATCTGGCCCTATAAAAGGTATCTTCAATGGAATATCAGCATAGGTATTCTGTAAGATGCAATCTCACTTACGGATCTCATTTATTCGGATTTATGACAAATGCCAAATAGTTATATTTTTATTTTTTTAAGCATTTAACTGTTAAATGTTTAAAATGTCAAATATCTAATACTGGCTACTTCTACAGACATAGCGACGTTTTGCCGTGTAATGGCGTAATGCATAGCAAACTAAGTGTCGCCGCACACGGGCCACACGCCACAGCCACAAACGCCGCCACGAGAAGCTAGAAGCGGCTACTAAAGTGGCTGAAGCGCGCAACAGTGGCCGACTAAGGTAAGGGAGAGAGGGATGGGGAATCGCGCGAGTGTCGTGTGGCGGCGTTTTGTGGTTGTGGTCGGTGTCCCGTGTGCGGCGACGCTAATGCCTAAAATGGCAGCTACCGAAAACGTAAGTGAGATTTTATTTTACAGAATCGCCCTACAGCTATACTGTTCTGCAAGCACAAATTCATGTTTTTTTTTTCTAAATGGTTTCGCACGGCTTGTGCATTTAGCCAATGTCAAGTGTTAAAATGTTTACAAATTCTATAGCACTCGTGGTCAAAGTAATAAATCAAGTCAAAGTAAGCAGCAGTTAAGTCAAACCCCCTTTCCCTATGTTTCAGTAAATGTGTAAGGATTTACTGGAACCTCCCCGTGGACTTCTTGAGGGAACGTCGAAAGACACTTTCCGCTATTTTGTTTCACTTGCCAACACTTAGTGGTTAATAATCCACCATTATTAGAAACTAACATCCACCACAACACAATTTTTAACAAGAAAAACAACTGCTACTGCTAGAGTGACGCTTCCCGATCCCGCCAAAAAGTCCACAAATTCATGTTACACAGTGTTACACATAGGAATCCACGATGTGCTTTAAAATTAGAACACGAATTTCAATATAATTACAAATCACATCAGCGAATTGCACAGTCAAAAGTGAGTTTGTTCATATAGAAAAGCATAGTTGTAAGGTGTCACTTAGGGGTCATTACACAGCGGAAATATAATATATCTTTTTGTGTAGTATTTTTTCCCCCAATTTTATAACCGTGCTCTCTAATGGGTTCATTTCATTTTAATATACGAATCTCTCTAATTATTACTTCCATTGTTTTTAGAACATAATTATTTGACAAAATGAGGCTGAAATGTGTTTTAGTACCAAAAGCGGGATAGGTGCGGAGACTATTAAAATTTTCATGGTAGAAAAAAAAAATCCCTATCAATTGTATTTATTGTAAGTGCTTTTGGATCAAAAGATACATTATTTAAATATTGAATTTTCAACAACTCATCTAATTTAGAGATTAATTAATGTGTGTGTTGTCTAATATTAATTTTGAAAAAAAACATTAGCTTTGTAATTACTTAGTAATTAGTCAGATAAATATTTAATAAGTAAAGCCTACCTATATTATATTTTGATCGACACACTTGACGACACGACAAACACATTGAAAGATGAACCATAATTAATTAGTAAAAAAACCTATAAATTTACAAGCAAATTCAGACAACGATTTAGGTTATAGGTATTACCGCAAAAAAATGGGTTACTAAAAAACTCTAAAAACTATTGATTTGTTTGTGAAAACGGGCATTATTAAAGCAAATACTTATTACGTTTTCAAGGTTAATTGACTTGACACTGATAACAATATTTCTTGATACTTGCAGTACATTCACCGACTTTAAAGAGGTACCAGTAGACACTCCGGACGAGCTGGTGACATCTGGGAGTCCTTATGTGGACATCAAAAAACCAACTTATTTCGTTGCCATAGGGTTTAATTTTCTCTTGAACGGGCCTTTGCTTACGAACCTGGTGCCAACGATGCTTAGCCTCGGAGACAGAAACGTGTGTCTGGTCAATTGGGTAAATGAAGCTGCAGCCGGAATGCTGGGGGATCAATTAGGATATACGCTACATGCTTTGCCGAACAGCAGAACTGTAAGTACTGTTTTTGAAAAGAAACTTCTTTTCGGACGAGGTGTAAATGGAAAAATCCTATGGAAAGATGAAACGGAAATTCCACCTCCTCCATTCCCCTATGCCTTGCATAAGGCCTAATGTCAGGTTATTTAAGAAAAGAAGTTTCACTTCAGATGTGTGGTTCGTGCACACTAATTTTTGTATGTTAATTGGTTGACAAACAAGATATATACACTCCCGGACACCTAAATCGAGCCACCTTGATTTTTTTGGTTTGGAGTACTGTAACTTACAAAAGATGTATGTAGAAGGAAAATGTTTTGATGCAGTTTTGGAGCTGGTATACTCATCATTCATTTAGAGTGCCACTGTTCTAAATTTGAACTACAGTTTATTAAAAAAGTCGAGTTATGACGCTCGTTCTGTCTTCGGTACACCTTACTCCTTCCGCCATTACCGTATAGCATTATCTTGGACTCATCTGTGAAGAGAATCTGGCTCCATTGATGTCGAGTCCAATTTAGATGTTCGTGCGCAAACTCTAGACGGGCTATTCGGTGTGCTCATGTCAATTTGGGTCCATTGGCTGGCTTATGGGGCTTTAAACCACGTTCATTGAGTCGCCTTCTAACGGTCCGAGCACTGAGCTGTTGTGTTGTGTTGACAATGTATTGATCTTGTCTCGCCGTTGTTACTCGGTAACGAGGTTCTCCTGTTCGCCAAACGAAGCCGCCAGTCTCCAGGTATCGGTGGTACACTCTTTGAACAGCAGAACGACTTATGTGAAGTTGTGAACTCACATCTCGCTGACTTAGCCCAGATTGAAGAAGTGCTACAGCTTGCGCGGCTACTTCTGGTGAAGTAACCATAATTTTATAGCCAAAAACGGTTCAAATTATAGAAAAATAACTAAACTAAACTTTGGTTTACAACAATTGCGATAATTCAAACCAAATTGACATTAAATTGCTTCAAAAGCAACTTTCAACAGTCATTATTTTTTTCAAATCAGTGACCAAGCTCGGCTTTTGTTCTTTATTTTAAATTCTAAAATTCAAATTTGGAATAATACATACGGGAAAGACGATGAAATATGCCAGCATTAAAAATGCATAAAAACTTTTTTGTGATATTGTATATTTTTTGTGTATTGGGTTTTTAGGCCCGGGAATGTAAGGTGGCTCGATTCAAGAGTCCGGGAGTGTATATATACTTAGTCAGGTCATAAATTCTGTCACATGTTTAATATAAAATAATTGAAACAAGGTTATTCATTATGTAACTATTTATATACCAAAATGAACTTAACAAAATATAGATTCTTATGACAATGAAGTTTATTCAAAATGATCTCCGTGATTTTGAATAGAGGCCTTCAATCTGCGCGGCCAGTCGTCTATCGCAGCACGAACGCGGTCCATGTCAATATCGGCGGCTGCCTTAATCAAGGATGTCTTGAGTGACTCCAAATTGGGATGAGACTTTGAGCACGCCTTTTCCTCCAAGTGTTACCATATCTTGTAATCTAACGGATTCAAATCTGGACTGGAGGAGGACAAGTCTTCGTGCCGGATGAAGTTCGATTTCACGCGCCGCCAGCCAGTCTTGTGTGCTGGCGCCGAATCTTGTTGGAATTCCCAGTGCCTGTTATTGAACATGGTATAAGAAACAGGTTCCACAAGGTTCGTCAGGACTGTATTTTGATACACAACTGCTTTCATTTTTACACCTTTCCAACAAAAATGTACCGCTATTAAGCCCCAATAAGAAACTCCCAACCCTACCATGAGCGAGGATGGAAAATGACCTCGTTGGACACGCGGAATACGGTTGCTCGCTTCTTCACTACTGTGTGCGTACACCTTATCATTTTGTTTGTTGTAGCTCTCTCCTACGGTAAATTTTTTTTCATCCGAAAAAAGAATTTGGCGATATTTTTTTCCCGCGTACCGCTTCAACAAAGCGCGGCATCTCTACAGTCTCAGGTCCATTAGACGAGCATTCAAACGATGTCCTGTTTCTCTTCGATAGGCCCGAAGCCCTAAGTCTTCATTTAACACCCTTTTCACCGTGGTTCTGCTTAACCCCATCTGAAGGGCCAACAGTTTCTGCTTACGTTTGGGATTTCTTTGAATTCGCGCCTTCACAGCTTTTATCACTGCTGGAGTCCTAACAGACCGAAGGCGACCACTTCTTGGCCTATCATTTACACTAGAGTCTTCATTGTATCGTTTGATGGTACGATAAACGAATCTTTTGGTTATATTAAAATTTTTCAGTATGTCAAAAATTTGAATTGGCGCGTAATCGCAACGATGCAACGCAATAACTACAACACGGTCTTTAAGCGTCCAGTCCATATAAAAATGAGTAAAATTCTAAAAAGTATACATTTTTATTTTCATGAACAATTCGAAATTCGAATTCAATAAACTTTTGTGGCCAGCATTCTAAAAGAAAAGTTTTTACTGTGTGACAATACTTATGACCTGACTGTGTATATATACATATATATGGCCCGCCTAATAATAATAATATATAAGTAAGCGGACGCCATAGTCTTTACACGGTTACGATACTAATGTATCACTTGCGCCATTACCTTTTCTTGAACCTCACAGGCAAGATAAATAGTAGGGTACTTTACCAAAATATTAAATCATAATAATTTTCACATGTTGTTGCATGATGAATAAATGAGATTAGAGATCTATGTAAGTTATCCTATTTTATAAATAAAACTAGTTTTTACGGGTTAATGCACGAAACTTTATTTATTTATTGACGTTTCGCAGCCTTTTCAGGTCTGCATCGTCAGAATAATGAAAAGTTATATTCTATTATATTTATAGTTTATTCTGACGATGCAGACCTGAAAAGGCTGCGAAACGTCAATAAATAAATAAAGTTTCGTGCATTAACCCGTAAAAACTAGTTTTATTTAATGAGTGATGTGCGTGAAAACCTAAGAAACAAATATTATCCTATTTTAATATTAAAATTATTATCAACCGCTTCCACAAGCTTAAAATTAAAAAAAAACGGTAAAACTATACTTCCAGGCCCAAGAGGTGATACTTGAACATTTTTGTAGAAAAGGTCTCTTTTTTACAAAATTTTTTTTCAACACCACCTTGTAACACATGACACTCTTTTTCTCTCAATTCATACGCTCTTCTTAATTGATTTTTGTCATAAACACTATAGATAGATAGTAAATAATAATAGATAGTAACTGGATATTTTCGTATATCGTAATAATTGTTCTTATAAACCAAGTATTATACCTATCTCAGGCACCAATCTCACACAAACTTATCATTTGTGCCTTTACTGTTATGATTACATTTACGGAACTTGTGTAAAACTGTTTGTGATGAGAAAATAAAATTCATTATTATTAGGTATTAGTATATTATTATTATTTTATTTCAGGTGGGAAGAGCTGTCGGAAAAGCTATTAAAAAGCTCGTGGATCTTGGATTACTAAACGACATCCATTTTGTCGGTCACTCTTTGGGTGCGCAACTTGCCGGCTACGCTGGACGAGAAGCTATCGTAAAAGGAATCAAACTCAAAGAGTAAGAAACTTATTGAAGCGTACAATAAATTTTCGACTTCATTAGAACGACAAACTGCAAAAGTATTTAAACCTGTGCTGACCTTAGAATGATATGATAGCTAGATTCTAGATTCCAAGCTTGCCAAAATAGCCAAATGTGAAAACAGTTAAAATAAAATTAACGTGAAGTGAAAGCGTTGACCAAAAGACAAATTAAAGAATTGGCCACATGTTTCATTAGTATTATGCTTACTTTGGGGATAGGCTAGTTTTGGTGTGTTAGCAATATTTATTTTATTTTATTTATTACTTGTGGCCTGCCCTCGCTTCGTTTCGGTGTAGAGCTGTAGTGCAGACAGCAGTTTTTGTTCTCTGGCTTGTTTTATACAAAATAGCTTTCTTTTGATAATTACCATTTGTAAGCTTCCGTTATGTGCGCTACGTAAAAATAAAATTACACAAAAATCATGTTTTAAAAAATTGTTCCCCTTTAAAATTTCTATAAAAAAGTCCGCGACAGCATATGCCCAATTTTTTAAATTTGACTATAACCTTTTTCTTCAAATTAACGCGGATGAAACCGCAGGAGACATTTGGTATCGTGGACGTTTTTTATAGATATTGATGTCCTCTATAAAACTTTTAATCGCAGCGTACGTGATATAAGGTTATTTCTTGGTATTTTTTTTTACACGACGGGTTATACTATCGAAGTTTTCATACGGAATCCTAACTTTTTTGAAAATACTGTATAGCCTATGTTCATTAGAGATAATGTAGGATTCTAAATGTGACAGATTTTTTCAAAATAGTCCTGTAGTTTCGGACAATATTCAATACAAACAAACTATAAAATATTTCTTCTTTATAATATTAGTATAGATTAAGTTGTTTTTGTAGTACATGAATTGTTTTGCATGTGAGAAATAAACATTAATTATTAAATACCGACTGCATTGGCAGCTGCACTTATAGACGCCAATTTATTTATACTAATCGGAAAGAAAGAGTCAGCATAAACTTTGATCAGACTCAAAAGTAAACGTTAAAAAGAAAATTTCTACTTATTCATTCTCAACAGTTTATGATAAGTGAAATCGTGTGAGAAGAACACATTTATTTTTACAGGATTATTGCTTTAGATCCGGCCCGTCTTGGCTACCAGCCCCCCTCGTTCTATCATTACGTGGACTCGTCTTGTGCCAGCCTGGTGTATTCTGTTCACTGCGATGTGAACGGGTACGGCCTCAACATCAGCACGGGCCACATTGATTTCTGGCCTAACTACGCCAACTATATCAGTCCCACAGCCACCAGACTGCAACCGGGCTGCCAAAAGGGAACCACATCGCAGGAGACCCTTACTAATGGAAGTAAGTTAAAAAATAGCATTTGAAAAAACAATATCTTATCATCATCAGCCTATTAATGTCCCCACTGCTGGTTTCCCAATGGATGGAATAGGGAGATTGGGCCGTGACCCGTGATTGGTGGGTGCTAGCGACTGCAGATACAGCCGGGACCAACGGCTTAACGTACCTTCCGAAGCACGGAGGAACTCGAGATAGAAAATTTTTGGTCACCCATCCAATGACCAACCACTGCGAAGGTTTCTTAACTTGAACGATCGCAGCCGAACGCGCTTACCACCTACGCCATCGAGCACCTCAATATCTTATGGGAAACTGAAATTTACAAAAATAAGGGTCAGTACACTGCGAGTGATTAACGCTCAGAAAGTACATTATATTTCATTGTTCATTGAGTGAATTCGTTAGAGCCTTACCGCATTGCCATTGCTCCGCGCAAAAAAAAAATATCCCCCCCCCCCCTTATTAATACACACAGAATAAACTTGGATTGGTAGCTCACTGTTTAATCTCTGTTCATTGAATCACAAATGTCATTTGAGTGATATGAACAAAAGACGGCGTAACTAGTCTCTCCTTATTCCTCGTTTAATAATAAAGGGACAAGAGGTCAGTGCTATCAGTGCTCGCAATCCAATCAGTCACTACGTATAATATGTTTGGTTTAAACAATAACAACCTTAAGAAAATATTACTAGAAAAAACTGCACGCGGACCAGGCAGTAGAAGGGACTCGAACCAGCACCCTTCGCTATCCGGGCGAATGCACTGACCATTATGCTACCGTGGCCCTGATGGCCGTGTCGAATTCTTTAAATTAGCTGTACCAATTACAAGACTCCACAAAATCAATAATTCATTTAAAGGTCTTTGTGTACGCTTCGACAACAAAGTCCCTAGCATTTTCCAAAAATTAAACGTAAAACTACCATTAAAAGAGTTCTTATAAATAAAGGGTCTCTATAATTATAATGAAGATGAAATCATTTTGTATTGTCACCGTAACAATATATTATATTTTTATTTTCGCCTGTTTTTCTCCACAGCTAAAAATGTCCTAAATGGTGATAGGGAAAAATGTATGGACGATTCAAAAGAGTTGTATTGTGCATCCAATTTGAATAAAGATATTTTGACTTTGACTTGACACAATGTCAAATGAATACCCTTTACAAGTATTAAACAGTTGAAAGAAGAAATAGCAAGTATAGTTATAGTTTTTATTTTTAAGCATGTAACTGCTCGATGTTTAAATCTAAAGAAAATATTACTAGAAAAATCTAGTAATATTTACATGCTTAAAAAATCAAAATTATAACAATAACAACATTTTAAATATATAATGTTTATACTATAATGAATAGTCATACATAAGACGGACTCTCATTTCAGATAGATGCAGTCACGACCGCTGCTGGCAGTTCTATAACATTGCATTGACCAACCCCAGTTTATTTAAAGGCGGCAAAGCAAATAACTACTACGAATGGGTCTCCAAGTCAGGCAACTTCAAAGACACCAATTTCATCGGTCCACTTATCGATGCACAGTAAGTATTTGGTGGCAAATGTAGAATGCGCTTGTTCTTGTATGTGGAGGTCACTAAAAGAAGTCAGCTCCAGCAGCAGACATCTTCTTCTTCTCTTCTTCCTGCTACGGGCGTTTCCGCAACTCGACATCCTTATGGCGCCTGTTTTGCGTGAGGAGGGTGTATGGCCGGAATCACCCAGCCAGCCCAGCTCCGCCAGGAAGGCCCCCAGGGCCTTCACGTTGGTGACTGCCTCTTGAAGGTTTCCCGGTGAGCCGAGGTATTTCGCCCGGTATTCGGCCACTCCGTTGCATTCCAGCAGAACGTGAGTAGCTGTTTCTTCTGCCTCCATGCATCCTCTGCATAGGGGGCTGTCCGTGACACCTATGTTGAAAAGATGTCTGTTAAAATGTGCATGTCCAGTAATAGTACCTGTTACCATGCGCAATGTAGGTTTGCTTAGCTGTAGGAGAGTTTTGGAGAAGGCAGCGTTCACCCGTGGCAAAGCGAGCTTGGTCTGCCTGCACGTCTCCAGTTCGAGCCAGTGTTGCTGGTGTAGTGCGGCAGTATGCTCGCGAATTTTATTGACGAGACAGCTTACCGGTATCGGGACGATTGGTTCGGGGCCTGTTGGGGTCGTATCGGATCCCTTCCGGGCCAGCTCATCCGCAGCGTCGTTTCCGCGTGATCCACTGTGTCCCTTGATCCATTGGATGGTAATAGAGTTGCTCGTCCCTACCGTGTTTAAGGTTTGGTGGCATTCTTGTAGTAAGCTCGATCTGACTAAACAGGCATTTAGAGCTTGTAGGACTGATTTGCTGTCAGACAGTATTCGTATTTCCTGTCCTGTTACCTTCCTTGAGAGGATCGCTCTTGCCGCCAGTGTGATGCCCATACACTCAGCTTGGAAAACTGTGTTGTACGGGCTTAAGGGGAAAGCGATGTGTATATTAAGGTCCTCAGAGAAAACACCCGCGCCCGTGCCCGATGAGGTTTTAGAGTCGTCGGTGTAGATCATGAGAGCCTTGTGTGTTACCTTTGGATCGTTGTCATCCAGTAGATGTATTCTATACTTTTTGTCAAATATGAAGGCGGGTATTATTTTGTCACATGCCGCATCTATGAGCGGAGTGTTTACCCATTCCTTCAGTATACCGTTGAGATGCCTTGCTCTTTCGAACCTTAACAGTCCAAACTTTTTTAGTCTCAACGCTGTTTTAGCCGCTTCCTGTCTTATGTAGATATGGAGCGGTGTGATGTTTAAAATAACTTCCAGTACTGCGGTTGGCGCCGTCCTCATGCACCCGGTCACCGCGCTGCATATCTGCCGCTGAAAGCTTTGTAATTTGTTGACACAGGTAGTCTGGATAGATCTCGGCCACCATATGATGGCGCCATAACTTACCATTGGTCGTATGACTGTGTAATATAACCATAGGAACAGTTTTGGTGCAAGGCCCCAACGCTTCCCTAACATTTGACGGTATTGCCAAAGTGTTACGCTGGCTGTCTTGATTTTGTGTTCCACATGGTTACTCCAGTTTAGTTTGCTCTCAAGTATAAGGCCTAGATACTTTACCTCCTTCGACAGTTGTAGTGTGGTACCAAACAGCTTCGGCAAGTTGAAAGCACCTACGTCACGTTTGGTTGTAAACATTACCAGCTCTGTTTTAGTTGGATTAACTGTGAGGTCGTATTTCCTGCACCAGCATTCAACCAGTTTCAAAGCACTTTGCATGGTGTTACAGGTGATGCTGGCGTGGGTGCCTAGGGTAAGTATAGTAATGTCATCTGCATACCCTATGGTGTAGTGGTGATTCGAGTTTAGCTTGGTCAGCAGGTCGTCTACTACGAGGTTCCACAGAAGTGGCAAAAGAAACCCTCCTTGCGGACATCCTCGTGCCACCAGTGCTCCTCTGCTGTCCTCACCTTTTACCCGAACTATTGTTGAAGCATGTTAACTGTCCAGTCAATTATTTGTTGCTCCAGTCCGTGTCTTCTGAGAGCAGACTCAATACTGGTGAAGTTGGTCTTCGAAAGCACCCTCTATATCGATGAAGGTTCCAAGGCAGATAAGTTTATTTTGAAAGGCTTCTTCTATCTTACCGACTAACTGATGGAGAGCCGATTCAGTAGATTTACCTGAACTGTAGGCATGTTGGTGTTTATGTAGTGGGGCATTGATTAATGCTCCACTGCGTAGGTATCTGTCGCATAGCCTTCCATTGTCTTAAGTAAGAAGGTTGTTAGGCTAATGGGCCTGAAGGATTTAGGGTTAGTATAGTCGGTTTTACCCGGTTTGGGTATGAATACTACCTTGACCTCCCTCCACAAATGTGGAGTGTACCGATGAGCTAGACATGATGTTAATATACGAGTAGCCGCATCGACCACGTCCTGTCCGCCCCATTGTAGTAGTGCTGGAAAGATGCCATCAGAGCCAGCAGACTTGAAAGGAGCAAAGCAGTTGATAGCCCACTTTACTCCCTCAGACGTAATTACCGACTCTGCTAGTCTCCAGCATCCTTCTGTTGTACTTGGAGGTGCATCTTGCCAAGTCACCTGCTCTATAAGCTGGCAGTCCGGAAAGTGGGTTTCTAGGAGGATAGCGTCGCAGTCAGCCCGATTATGGGACAATGTGCCGTCAGGTCGACGCAGACTTCCCAGCACGCCAGGGCCTTGCTTGGCCAGTAATTTCCTTACCCGGTTTGCCTGATTGGTGGAGCTTATCTCCTCGGTGAAGTTCCTCCAGGAGGCTGTTCTCCAGTATCTGATACGTTTCTTGTACTTAGCTTTAGTAGCTTTGTAGTTATCCCAGTCTGTGTCGTGGCATGTATTCATTGCTCTGTTAAGGCACTTCCTTACCTTTCCTCTTAATCTCTCGAGCTCCGGCCCCCACCAGTGGTGTTTTCCGGATACTCTCGAGTTCGGGAGTTTAAGGGGGCAGGCCTCTTCGTAGCAATGCGTTATGCTGTCTGTCAAGTGCTTTATCTGTTGTTGTAGCTGCTCCGTGGTTTCAATTCTGCCCTTACCGGAGTTGTTTCTTAGAAGGTCCGCCAGTAGTTGTGCGTAGCGGTGTTTATCGGTTCTCCGGGGATACCTTTGGGGTGCAGGGGATAGAGTTTCTACCTGTAGTGTAAAGCGGATTCAGCGGTGATCCGAGCATGATGCGTCATTGGAGACATGCCAGCCAGATATGGCCGTTGCCGCTTTTGGTGTCGCGAGGATCAGGTCTATGATGGTCTTGCACCGTCTGCCTACGAAGGTAGGTTCGTTGCCTGTGTTGATTAACTCTAGGTTAGTAGTCAGGAGGAATTCAAATAATTGGCTACCTCTGCTGTTGCTTTGTTCCATTCCCCACACAGGATGATGGGCATTGCAGACATCTTATTATATAATTGACAATGATAACTAATTACTAATTTAGTAAATACTAGTTTTATTTTTTGATCATCCATGCTGGATTGCTAACTGTACCCTTGGTACGAGTTTGAGCTCACGAAAACTATCATAGTTTTCGTAATTGTAAATTATGTTTCTATGTCCATTTTGGTGAAAAGTAACCAAATATACTTACTTAAAATTTAAGAAGACGCAAATGATTTAATGATAGAATTTAAACACTGTTTATTTGTATTGAAACGAAAACAATAAAATCAGTACCCTTAGTACGAGTGCGAGCTCACGAAAACTATCATAGATTTCGTAATTGTAAAACTCGTTCTAAGGGTACTGGGAAATTAGCAGTCCAGCATGGATGCATTTCATTTTTATCATAATATATCGATTGATAGCAATGGGCATGGCATATAAGAAACCTGTTGCAGTTAATGGGCTGGAAACCTGTCATTATTGTTTCTGGAGAATATATTAGACTAAAACAATGCCAAATGTGAGTCATTGTTGAGTGGTGTGGTTGCGGATGCGTTGTTAATACATATTTATACTCTACCGACACTGCATTTTTGGAACGAGCGGACGTGCGTGTGACAGATGGATCGGGAGCGCCGCTCTGGGCTCATTCCGTACTGGGACCATTCCGCACTGGGACCATACCGCGAGGGGCTCATTCCACACCGGAAACATTCCGCACTTGGCCCAAACACTGGGCCTATTCCTCAATAGACCCAATCCGCACTAAGACCATTCTACACTGGACCTGTTCCGCACTAAGCCCAGTACGGAATGGTCCCAGTATAGTGCAGTGGGTAGGATACTCTTTTTTATGGAATAGGGAAATTGGGCCATGTCTTGCTACACGGGCCCCATATTTCTAACTTCGTTCCAACCGAGTGTTCCGAGATACTAACGTAATTTTTTTTATCACCAGCGTTACCTGACGTTTTTTTATCACCAGCTCCTACGTGATTCGGAAGCTGTTAGTCTGTTGCAGTAATTAGCATCCACCAATCTGCACTAGACCGGCATGGTGGGATGTATGAGAATTATAGCACGGTATCCCTATAGGATTCTTTCCATATTCCACTGTCTGCTCCATCATGCCCCAAATTGATAGGCTTATGATGACGAATTAATGTTTCAGGAAACCTGGCCAGTTCTTCTTAGTCACCGGTGCAGATAGTCCTTGGGGCCTGGGTGATGAGGGCCTCAAAGTTCCAACAACCAAAGCAGAACAAAGACATCTTGTTTTTGGAGACATCCTTGAACCAGTTGTTTCATCAGTACTAAATTTACCGATTTTATAGATGTATTTGTCCTAATAGAACACCTATAATAAACTTAATGACTAATATATCAATAGTGACTCTTTAATGGGACTATGCAGAACTATTTGCTCCCGCGAAGCTACTCATGAATAGGAGTGATTTGTGATTTTTGTAGATGTTGCGGTGATATTAATAACAATAAAATTATTGTTAAAATGATAATAAGATAACTTACTTACGATTTCCTTTACAAAAGAAATCAAGTCAGGAAGGAATTATGCAAATAAATAAGTAAAAATATTTATATGTTATGGTGAAGTGATTGGTGATAAAGATCAAAAAGCAGGCAGGTACTTGGTTAACGGAGCAGCCTTGCCATCCAACGCAGCAATGCTGCCGACACCATTCCTGATGGCGGCACTTGGATTATATATTTTTAAGATTTCCGTACCTCAAAAATAAAAAAAAGGCCCCTTATAGGTTCACTTTGTTGTCCATCTGTCTGTCAAGACCCTTTAACTCGGAAACGCGTAGTGGTATCGAGTTGAAATTTAAACCATATATACGAAGTTAAACGGTCCATTTGAAGCGCTGAAAAAACAAACTTAGAAGTTTAAACTTAACATGAGGGCAGTGGCGGACTAAGCCCGTCAGAGGCCCGGGGCGGCAAAGCTGAATGAGGCCCCTCAGCTTTAAAAAAAATTTAGTTTCTTATGTTTGTTTCGTTAAAATCTGACAAGTGACATTTAAATTATTTCGGCTAAATAAACATACATACCTAAAATATGGTATATATTGACTAGAAACTACGGATAATAATTTCTAGGCTAAATTATTCGAATAATTACTTACTTTTTTCAAAAACGCGATAATGCATTATCTTAACTCTGAACTCATTTACTTTTATACAGCAACAAAAATAAAAAAGCAAAATTACACTTTTTAATAAAATTACTTTAAACGGATAATATCGCGTTTGAAAAAAGGCTTATCCGTTCTCGAAACTCACTAATAAACTATTAAACATAAAAATACCTATATTTTAAATGAGGCCGATGTATATTTTTCGACGTAAATATAATGTAGTGAATGTAAATGTAGGCGTACAAGAGTGAATTACAAAAAGCTACAAAAACGGGATTTCCCCCAGCGTATTGGACGCGTTCAGTTAAAAGAATATTAGTACCGCGTAAAAAGACTAGATGGCTGTAGTGTTTTGATCTTGATGAAAATAAACCTACATACTACTAAGTACATTTTTAAAAGTCTTGTTCAGCATTTGATCAGGGGAACGCGTAGGCATTAGGGGGCCCCCCAAGATCGGAGGCCCGGGGCGGGCCGCCCCTTCCAACCCCCTGTTAGTCCGCCACTGCATGAGGAAAAGATACGGCAGTTTATCTGTCTCTCTGTCAAGACCCTTTATCTCGGGAGCACATGGAGGTATCGGATTGAAATTTAAACCATATACTCAGGTCTACGGACCCTTGAAGCTGTGAAAAATAAACCTTTTAAGACGGTCGTTACTTTTGCGAAAATACGTGTGTTAAAATAAAATGTCTGCGTGCGCTCTCACACTAAGATAATAAAACTGTAGATAGTTACAAAATCACCAGAATCGTTATTTATTGAGATTGTTGAAACAAAATGTTAATTTTGACAATATTGTGGAAATTCCTTGCTTTGCTTGCTTGCTTGAAACGGAGTTTTATCTGGAGGCACGTCAGACTTATTGATCATATAAAAGTTTTAATTGCATAGCTTTAGATTTTATTTATATCCAAAAAAAATCCTGATTTGGTCACTGACTCACTGATGATCATCAAAATTCTTAGGTTATTTACTAGAAATCTGAAGTAAGTAAGCTAGTACACAAACAACAAAAATTATGAAACTTGTAACTTTTACCCTTTTAACTAGGGGATAGAAGTTGTATGAGACTTCTGCAATTTTTACGCTAGAGGTCTGACAATTGATTAAGGAACTCTTTGTTATTATAAATAATAAAGAAAGAAATTATCATAAACAACGTACAAAAAGAAATGAAATCTCACCAAAATCTTTTCATGTAAAATGTTAGTACATGTAATATGTTCTAACATTTGACATGAAAAGTGGAGCCCTGAAACCTTACTCACCGACAAAAACACAACACCACCTGTAATCTTCTGTAAGGTGGAGATTACTTCCCCAGGTGGGCGCTTCAATTAGAGCGGAAATGTATTTTTCAACAACTCTTTATTTACATGAATTCCAGTTTATAAATCACTTATTATAAATAAATAAATAAATATTTCCGACACTCACACCAATTAGCCTAGCCCCAAAGTAAGCACTGTAAGGCTTGTGTTATGGGATGCTAGGGTAACGGATAGAATACATATACTGTACATATATAAGTATATTTATATAGAAATACATATTAAACATCCATGACTGGAGTACAAATGCTCGTATTCATCACACAAACATCTGCCCCCACCGGGATTCGAACCCGGGACCTCTCGAGTCGGCGACACCATGAAACCCGGCGTACAAACCACTCGACCACGGAGGTCGTCGAATTTATGTATTGTTAAACTAGCGGCCGCCCGCGACTTTTTATGCGTGGAGTTAGTTATTTGCACATACTTTTTGACCCCAAAAGGGTTTTATTTCTAAAAATACATTATTAGTACACCTCTACACCATCTATAAATATACATATTAAATTTCAAGTCTCTTACTTCAAAAACATAGGACTTTCATACAAACTTCCAACCCCCGTATTACCCCCTTAGGGGGGAATTTTCGTGAAATTCGTTCTTAGCAGATATCTCTACACCCTATAAGGAACCTACCTGCCAAATTTTAAGTTTGTAGATCTTATAGTTTCTGAGATTTCGTGATTAACCAGTGAGTGGTATTTCGCTGCGACGTCGTCTGCGTGAACGCTATACAGCACCAAAAATACCTACGATTAGACCTTTTAAAATAACATTCATTTACCCGTTCCTTCTTTACATTTCATATCTACAGGAAGTGCAGTAACAGAGGGAGACTTTCTTTTGTAAAATTGACTTTCAAAAAGTGCTGATTTTCAGCCTGCTTTGAATAAATGACTTTATGGTGATTCTGCTGAATTAAGTCGTAAGTTGTGATTGAAGCAGATGGAAAAAAATAATGAATAAGGAATACAGAATAGGGTATAGGACTTCTCCATAAAAAAACATTAGTGGTTTGGCTCTCCACAGCCAAAATGTAAAGAGAGTCAGGACTGGTGACGCGGGAGCAAGCGACGTACAGTTGCCCGTGTGAGAAGCAGCTCGTCCTGAGGTCGACACCCGCTGCCCTCAGTGTCTACCCCTGTGACTTATTGATGGTCATCGAGAAGCAAACACTCACGGGGAACTTTACGCGCTTGAACTGGAACGGGAAGTTATGAGGTATGATGTGAATGCGTGATATAATAATTGCCTCGCCGACGCCACAACCCGTTAGAATTTCCGTCTCAATGGTGTGTCTGTGGAGCGAGAAGATTTTAAGGCGGGTCGGGAGATAGGTTCCGAAGAAGCATAATCGGGACACCGACCTTTAGCTTGATGGTATGCGCTGGAAGTCCACTTGCTGACAGGGAGTTCAGAAATTCCACGGGATAATGTGTGGTGTATACGACTGATGTCCCCGTACACAGAGCGAATGAGTTCTTCTAAGCTGTATACAACTCTACCAAGAGACTCTGGAAGCACCACCTGTCCACCTGTCTCCTCTGGTAGAGTGCCTTCGCCAAGACTAAGAGGGACATCGGAGAATTCTTGAGCACGTGCATTGCCGAAGCAGAGCTCTCATATTAATGGTTAAGCGCATCGTACGAACTCGTGACCACAACGAAGATCGTTTCAACGAAGCATTCACCTCGTCAGCCCTCGATCCCCGCGTCACCACGGGAAGCGTTTGTCGAAAATCGCCACTGAACAGAACTGTGACACCACCCATCAAATGTTGGTTCCTGCGGATGTCCTGCAAGGTTCTATCCACGGCCTCAAGTGCCTTCGTATTGGCCATCGTACACTCATCCCATATGATCAGAGAGCAATCCTTGAGCACGTGTCCCTTATCACTGTTACGTGACACACCACAAACAGGCGTTTCGGCGCTCTCTAAATCGATGGGAATTTTAAACATGGCATGTGCTGTCTTGCCACCCGGAAGCAATGTGGCAGCGATTCCCGACGACGCTACAGCAAAAGCAATTTTGCCTTGCCTCCTGACCTCTGCAAGTATGCCAGTGGTAACAAATGTTTTTCCTGTTCCACCAGGAGCAGCAGAATGAATTCCAAGAAAATCATTTTACCCTGGTTTTGCCCAACGCTTTCAAGGACGGTGTCATTAATTTGTTTTTGCTCTGAAAAGAACAAAGCGACATGGTCATTTCGTATGGTGGTCATTTCGCCGGGATCGTAAATTGTAAAATTGTCTATTATGTTTATCGGCCTAAGTTACTTATAATGTGAAGCTAGCTTATAGCATGGTTAACAAATAACAACATTTAAATATGCGTCGTTAGATTACACGTTGTTACAGAATGCTATGAAGAAAAGGTTCACTGCTCGTACCCCGTAGGTGATAGCGCGATAATATATAGCCTATAATATGTTGACCCGACTTCTTAATAATATTCGTGCCAAATTTGAAGTAAATCCATGCAGTACTTTTTGAGTTTATCCCGGACATACATACAGACAAACAGACAAAAATTCTAAAACCTATATTTTTGGCTTCGATATCGATTGTAGATCACACCCCAAGTATTCTTTTAAAAAAATATTCAATGTACAGTTTTGGCTTTCCTACCATTGTATTATAGTATAGTCTATCATAAATACTTTAATTAGTACTCATTACTGTTAATGCGACATTGCTTGTATTTGAATGGCGTTTTGTTTGTCTTACTAATAATTAATTAGTACCTACTTAGCGTAAATGATCTCATTATTCCTTGTACCCTAAGCGTTTCTGTTTGTGTATGATGTATTTAAAGGTATATATATCCCTAAAAACAAACCTTAAAAGTTTAATCTGAAAATGAACTCTGACAAGAGACAGTGTGTTTGTAAGCTGTTATTTTGGAGATTCGGCTTCCGAAGAAAATAATAAACGTGACAGTTTTTTTTTAACTAAAAGGCTCTAGAGCAGTTTTAAGTATTTGAGTGTACACAAGATAAATACGTGCAGAATGAATTATACGATAATTCATTGGAAATTGATTGTGAAAATTTCTACGTCACGGAGAATGTGGTTGAATATAGAAATCTGTGAGTATTAACAAACTTTAAATGTATTCTTTTATTTTTTTCCATTTTTTTCATATTTAATATTTATACTATATATATCTAGTAGTACAGTTCTAAATATTTGTATTTTTCATCTTTGTTATAGCCTTTCAAGTCAAACTGGTAGAAGTAGAGGCATTAAAAAACTTTTTTGGGTGAACCACATCATCTTCATCGACGGAAACGAATGAACACCCAACCATCCATTGAACAGAAGATAATGTGTGATATTGTAGTGAGTAGAAGTCAGGAATAATATTTTACTTTATCAACATGGATGAAATAATGTTACGATACTTGATACCTACTGCTTTCGGATCACGAATTTTATCCTATTGTATCATCTCATCTCAAAAGGATACTCCGGTTCTTGAAACACTTGAGTTATTCTTCGAAGCCGTGAAAGGTACAATTCAAACTTATAGATGATTGTCTTAATTAACTTACATTTATAAAAGTTTTTGTTTGAAGCAACTAAAGCTCTTAAATATTCATTTGCTTTTCAAACTTCTAACTATATTATTTCAATAGGTGATAATAATTAAGATCCTAATTTGTTTCTTTCTTTTTTGGGAAAAGTATTATAAGTAAAATTTTTAAATTAAACATAAATATAATAAAATGGTTGGTCATATAAAAAAAATAAGATTTTGCAACTTAATGTTACCGAATTCAATTCTTTACTGGTTCATAAAAACTATAAATCACACCTAAAACATAGAACTATTTGTGTATGTAAAGTAAGGTAAAAATAATATTTTTTTATCATTTTATGATAAACGAAATTAGGTTCTTTTGTTTGAATATCACATGCTTGATTGATCTAAAACGATGCATTTTGGATATTAAATAGTTTTTTTCATTTCAAACACAATTCTTTTAGATTCTAGAGTTAAAATACTTTTATTCTTATATCTTTTCTTTTGTGTATTGAATGACACCTTTAGCTTTATCGCTATTCGCTTTTTCTTTACGTTCATTTCATACATTTTTGATCTTAAACCAACAAATTCCTTAAGTTTTATTTTCATCTTTCAATTAGTAGATACCCTTAGTTTATGCTAGTATAAAGTATAAGCTGGATAATCAGAAGTATCAAAATCTAAATATTCTTGCAAACCAGCATAACATTAATTTCTAAAAAAAGATATACGAGGCGGTATCTCTACCAAATATTACTAAATTTCCTAAAGTTCATAAATTTTATTTTGGTTATTTACATCTATTTCAATTTTCCTATTTATCGACTGGTAAAAGTCCTTTTGAAATTTTGTTTATGCTTTAAATCTTTACACTTTTATAGTCATGTTCCTTGGTTAAGTAATTTTCATTCCTCACTTTAAACAATGTAGAAGATTTGGATACTAAATTAACTTGTTTTATTATT